CCTTTGACTGACGTGACATTATTGCATTTATATTGACTTTTACGGCAGTTTTTACAACATTTGAGGTGCATAAGTTACATGAAAATGTAGCACGGGAACATTTCAAGATGAAAGTAAGCCATAAAGAGAGTGCCGGGCTATAATGTCTGCGATTTACAGTGTGAGGAAATTGCAAATGGAGCAGGGCATAGTGGGCCTGGCCAGCGTCACTTGCTTCCAAACCCCTGGGAATCCTCTAAGCTGCTTCCCAAAGAACCTGGAGCCCGGAAGGTCCAAATTGCTGGTGGCTTTTGCTTGCCCTGTCATGGTTTGAAGCAGTGTCTCAGGCTCCGAGAATACAAACACAGTAAAGCTGGAGGAGGAGAGGTGGTGGCATAGGGCACCAGTTAAGTAAGTCAGTGGAGCCAGGGAGAGGTCAGAGGCTTCCCGGAGGTGTCAGCCCACAGGCTGTTGCCTATTTTCTGCCTGGCACTCAGTCTTCACCATCCACTTCCCATCAGGGCCTCAATGACCAGGCAGGAAAATGAAATGGGTTTTCTCACCTGCACAGGGCCTTTCCTGGCCAATGCCTGTTCTAATCAGACACTCAGCAGCTCTCCTGCCTAACTGGTCTTGGAATCTTGACTTTTTTCTCCTCTTGAATTCAACCTTCCTGTCCACACTAGAGATATTTCAAACTAAGACAGCATGCACAGAGTATCACTCCTGTTCTGAAAATGTTCCAGTGGCTTCCAGTTCCTTCTGGTTATGTTTGCAGGCCTTTCCTCAGCATCCAAGGACTGCTGTGTCGCAGTACCTCTCACCCTTCTATATTATTGTCTAAATCTCAGCCAGTCTGGGCCATCTCCATTCTACCATCTGTGCTGTCTAATTTCCTGCCTTAGGGCTCCCCAACTCTCCTTTACCAGTACCCACAAGTTTTCTACTTACTAATGAGCCTGAGAGGGTAACTGCTCAACTCTAGAGCTAGATAGCCTAAGTTTGAATTCCAGTGTTACTCCCCCCTGAGATCCCAGGACAATTACTTTCTGCAACTCTATTATCTCATCTGTAAAATGGGTATAGTGGCAGAAACTATATATATTGCTGAATTGTTAGGAAGATTCATTCATGGTATATATTTTAAGGTCTTTGAATATCAACCAGCAGTGCAAGGGCTCTTGAGGTGTGAGCTGCTGTTCTGAGTTAGGATGTTCCTCTGAACAGTACTCCTTCCTACAGTATCCTTCTTGGGTTCTCTCTTCTTAGATATGCAGTTGTTTCATATCTAATCTTTTTACAAGTTCCCTCTGCTCTCCACTCTGGGTCTCCTTGGGGTCCCTTGTGGCACAAAGATGTGCCAAGTGTGAAGTTAATTTCTGTTGCTTTACTGTGATTCAGTCACATCATAAAGGTAAAAATTCCAAGGAAGATTCAAATCAGCAAAACTACCACAATGTGCACCATCCCTGCTGTTCTGATCCTACCAGAAAGACGGGTGATGGTAGGGAGACAAGCAATAGGAAGGCCTGGTAAGGGTTGGTTTTGTAGTTCACTGCCAGAGGGCTGGCTGGTGCTTTCCCCTGGAGATGGTGCAGCTAAGAGAAGCTGCCCAGAGCCTAAGCAGGGCTTCACTAGCACTGGTCCTCACCCCGATGGAAGCTTTGTTTCTATATGTGGCCTCCTTACTTTACGTACATCTGTTCAAGAAAACATGCTCCAGGGACTAGTTTTGTTTTTATTCTTTCTGGCAACATAGTTAATGCTCCTTGTCTTGTCTTCTGGGCTGTAAATTTCCTCAGGGTGGAGGAGAATCTTTATTAGGTATTTACTTCTGAATATTTTATTTTTATAATATTAAAATAATGGCAATTAATGCTAATCTAATTCTTAACATATCATGGGAAGTTAAAAACAAAGATATGTCACTTTCTACCTTTCTGTACAGTGCCAAATGCCGACATATTTGTCTTGAAATTCCCTAAATTTCTCTGTTGCTTGCCTATATCTATCTACCTATCCCATCTATTTTTTATCTATATACATAATGCATGGATACAGACATGCACACATATAGTCTATAAGTGTAGGTATTTTCTCCTATTGAATGATCCTATATGATAGTCACCTTTTGCAAGTCTTTGTATATAACTCACTCAGGCTAATGATTGCTCTACTAGAAATGGATTTCTAGAGTCAAGCAGCAAGGACATTTAGGACATTCTACTACAAATGGAATTCTAGGGTCAAGCAGCAAGGACATTTAGGGGTAGCTATCCCTTAAAATCTTCCCCAGGGTGGTGCTTTCTGGTATTTCGGAATCTGCTCTCTCTATTCTACCCTTTCTTGCTGTTAGCAGAGACTTGACTGTAGAACACAGCGTGCCCTTCCACGGACCTTTTGTGTCTTACTGGTTTCATATTCATCTTCCTCCCCACTCAGTGCCTCGTAATGTGCTGCATACAGGAAAGTGGTAAACAGAAGCCTGTTGTAAGAATATTCATGTGGGAAGCCCACTATAATGCCACCCAATCAAGACCATAACCATCTGCTAGGCAGACAGCATATGTAGTTCAGAGACTCTCTACTTTGCTTTCAGGAAGTTACTGAGCTTTTTTTGTTTCCTCAGTTTCTCATTCATCCAATAAGTCTAGAGATATTGGCTTGTCTCCCTGGAGACCTTGGGTGGAATCTGGTATTTCAAAGTGCTTAATGGTGCTGCTCGGTAAATAAAAGATATCATTAATATGCATGAAGCTATTTCATCAAGAGGCCAAAAGAGCAAATTTAAAAGCTATCTTCAAGGGTAAAGAACTAAACTGCCATTATCATGCATACTACTGACCACAATAGAAGTTTGCAGGAGCCAGGACAATGCACTCCCAAGGGGCCTGGCAGACTGCTCAAATCTTGGGGTGCCCCTGGTCTCACTGTTAGGCTTTCAGTGAAGGGTCCCAAGGAGAAACATCTTTTACCTCCATATCCCACAGGCAAGTTGGAACTGTTAGCATACCAGAGCTTTGCTTAAGGGCTTCCGAGAACTGTCCCTAACAATGGGAGGAAATTGATGGGAAACATTCAAGGCAGGGGCCCAGGGCACCTTAGGAGGCTTTGTGCCTTCCACCACTTCAAGGTTACATTTCCACTTACAGGCATGAGAAATAGGGAGTGTGGCTAAAGTGAGAGTTGAGCTTGCTGCCCTGGATGAAGAATGAACAAGACTTAGGGAAAGGAGTTGGGAGCCCTGGGTTCTGCTTAGCTATGTGACCCTGAGCAGAGATCATTCAGCTCTTCACCTGGTACCTATACCTGACCACATTTATAGGTAAGCAGAGACACTAGCCTGGGAGTCGCACTACTGGGGTTCCCACATGTTCATGACAGCAAGGGACTTAGTGTCTTCCTCTTGAGGTTTCTACTTCTTTAATAATTTAAGGGCTTTTACCATTGAAGCTGATCTTCAATCCAAATGTCAGGAGGGAGAGAACTGAGGAGCCTGATGTGTTTGTTAGTGTTTCTCCAATTGAGTTGATTTTGTTCCTGTTTCCAAGAACTATCACTGATTAAACTAGTCCCATGCCACACGGTCCCTTAGATTCTTTCTATAGCTGAGTTGATGGTGCATTTCCTGGCCAGTTTCTGCTCCAAGTTGTCATGGGTGTCCCCACTTGTGACCTCCTCCTCACAGCTGTGCCCACCAGTGCCCACCCGTGCCCACCAGCAGAATTCCTGGGCTCTTCTCCAATGCTTTCAGGCCTTGGTGTTGAGACCTGACCAGTAGTTCCAGATGTTAAAAGCTCTTTACCAACAGACTCAGTGGAACTAGCTCAAACTCTTACAGGGGATCTAAAAGGGGACATTTAGAGTCTGAGTCTTCTTTGGCTCCCAGGTGACCCTAAGGCACCTACACAATTTTTTTTCTAGCTAAGCATACTAAAATATGTTGAAAGAATATAGTCTTTACATTTGCCTAAATAGGAAATATCACCTGTTGGTTCAAGAAAGAGGCATTTTTGAAGGGTCCAAAGCAACTTTCTGTGCCCACCTAAACAGAAACATAATAGATGAATTTTCTCACTAAAAATATTCAGGTTTGCATATACTGTGCTATATGTATAAGGTTCTTTATTAGCATCTGCTTCATCTATCTCTCTAACACTTGGGAAAATTAAATGTAGCATTGGATAAAAATATGCATTTTGAGAAGCACATAAAGCTAAATAGTAAAATCAATCGTTATGTAAGCAATCATTCCATTAGAAACAGAGTTTGACTCTAAACACTTTTCATAATTTTCTCCTAACAGGCAGTTGAGAATCGAAATTGGTTCCCTCAAGGAAGGTCCAGGACAAAGTATGCTTGATTTATTGTTCAAACATAGATGGAAAGCCAAAATAATGGGATGACTGAAGTGAAAGTAGTTAAAATAGTTTTGCTAATGTACACCCAAACTAATCATCTACTATTTAACTTTACCTTCAAAACTTTACAGAATATTTTAGAGGTCATTTAACTGTTTTGAGATATAGTTTCCTAAATATGAAACAAGAGACTAAAATCAGTGATTTTGAGTTTTTGATGTCCAATAAGCAAATTCAATGAAGTAGAATATCTGAATACTGTAAAACTACATTTGATCAGTAATAAATGGCAATCTTCTGAAATTCATTCATACTCTAGAGAAGTAACTTCAACATGAGCTCTTTGAGGTTTTCTAGGGTAATGATATCTGGTGGACAAAACCTCAGCTCCTTAGCCCAAAATTATATCTACAGTTCCACAGAGATTCTTGAGTAACTTGACAGTGTCAGACAGATGAAAGAACTTAATAATCAGTACTTGTTTTTGTTCTGTAATTTCAAGTAGAATAATTGACTCAACAGAGTTAAAAAGGGGAGAAATTACCTCTGACATTACCCAGAACACCATAAGCAGTTGAGACAATGAACTGCCTAGGGGGCCTTTCTTTATCCAATACTAAACCTGCATTTTTCTAATAAGCTAATCTTATTTTTCTGTAGATGGCTCTGAAGTCCATAAAGGAGCAGAGGCCAGTGTGTGAAGGTAAGAAGCTACCGCACTTTTCTACATGAATGTATCATGACCACTGACAGACATTTGGAGCTGAGGCGGTGGGTTGGGTGAAAACAGAAGAAACTTTGGAATAAACCCAGAATAAAGACACCCCTGGGAGGCACTAAGGGCAAGAAGCACTTGCAAAAGCCGCTCAGCACACCAAAGGAAACTGTGAAGTGAGGGAGTGGTGCCAAACACATGGCCTCATCACAGCTTAGCTTCCTCTCTCTTCAGAGCCACAAATATTGTCCTCTCACAATAAAAATTTTCATGTCACACAGGAAGTATTGCAAACAAGACCATAAAATAAAGTAATTTGGTGCTGGTTTCCTCCCTGTGCTCCTGGAGGCTCCCTACTCTCTGCACTTTCTCTCTATCAAGAGAAAAAGACAATAAGCCAGAGCAACTTAGTGAAAGCCCATCTCAAAATGAAATTTTCAAAAGGGCTGGGGATGCAGCTCAGTGGTAGTTCTTGCCTAGTATGTGTGAGACCCTAGATTTAATTACTACTTCTCAGAAACAAAACAAAACAAAACAAAACAAAACAACCCCCAAAAAAGTAGAGAAAGAATTGCACAGCTTGTGGTGGGACATTTCAAGCTGAGTAAGAATGGTGCTCCAGGAACGTATTTTTATTGGTTATAGGAGTTTAGATTAGGGATGAGGAGAACGCTGACTTTAAGAGGTGGACTCATGGCATCTCTTAAGAACACAGCGATGCAGCAAGATGCTCAGGTGGGTCCTGCCTGTGCCTGTTCAGCAACCTAAACTCACCTACCACGCCAACATGTAGGGTCTATTGTTGGATGAGTCTCTGTGGTAGAAGGTTGTTGCTTAGAGTGAGACTAAGGGGGCTTGATATTTCTCAGTGTCTAAACTGCAAAAAGAAAATTTTTGACCAGTAGGAATTTACCATGGTAGAAAATTTACCTCGGCTTTTAAATTGGAAGAAAAAATGTGATTCAGGAAGTTGAGCTGAACCATTCTCTCATGGCTTCCTCTCAAATCAGCTCAGCATTGGTAGCTTTGCCATGTAGCTTGGCACTGGTTTATATTTTAATCACATTATTCTTCTGTGGTTTCATGGCTGTGCTTCTCAAGTGGCATCTAAGCCACTCAGTGGCATCTCCCATGACATCCAGCCTGGAGCAGGCTGTCCAGGAGGTGCTCTTTAGAAGCTCTTGTAAGTAAGCCAATTGAGCCAAATTTACAACAGGGCTTTTAAAAAAAGTAATAATCTAAAATGTATTTAAATGTAGTCTCTGGAGTTATGTCACAAAGAGATTGTCTGCGGTGCCATCCTAGACTGCCAAATGATCTTCAAAGCAGAAATCCAAATTTTTCCACATTTTCAAATAATCGCTGGAATGCTGAAGATTTAGAACAATGTGTTGAGACATGTTACTATTTTGACCCAGTTGACTCTTCCCTTTTGGTTCCCACAGGTTCAGCTCCAATTCAAACTCTAATTATTTTGTGCTTTCATTGTTGCAAGGGGTTCTTGGCTAACATCCATAAGCCTGGCTCTCAAGGCATCTTACCAAATGCTTCTAGCACCATCCGCTGTTCCTTCCCAGAGCAGTATGTATTTATTCTGTGGGACTTTTCTTAGTTGTATTTGTTTATCTGAAACATTATTTTCACTACCACCTTACAATGCACCATGAGGGTGGCGGTGGGATTTATAGCCCTGTCCCTCACTGAATGAACTATTTGTTTCTTCATGCACACCCCATGCTGTAGTGTAACTGAAATGTTACATTCTACATTATGTCCCTCATTCTTCTGCACTACGCTCGCTTCATTTCGCTTGCTTATGTCATTTGTATTATGACTATATTAGAAGAAAATGCCAGAGACAGAGGGGAGACAATGACTTGGGCATAATTTGAATGGTTAATAACAAGAAGGGAAAGGTCGGATTATCCTGGCTGAAGATAAGGAAGGATTTCTAGTGTCATAAGGTATGAGAAAGAACTAACTTGACCGTCAAGGCACCAAGATTTTATAATTGCAGTTTTTGATGCTGAATTACACTGTGACTTTGGGTAAATGACTTGACCTCTTTATGCTCTGGTTCTTTACTCTATAAAGATCCATACTAAGCTTGAATATTTCTAGAAGACAATATAGGATTCATTGACCCTCCTGACAATAAATTTATTTTGTTTTTATTATTAAAGATCTTCAAATAATTGAAATGTTGTCAAAATATTATTTTTCCACTTTAGACAGTAACTTTCCAAAGTATAGCTGTTCATTCCAATAACTTATAAAATAACATTAAGAAAATATATTCTGGAAAAACAGCTACCAGTTCCAAAGCTTTCCTTAAGACTCCTTTCCTCAACATGCTGAACATTAGTTTTAGTTTGCAAAGTCTTTTTTTTTTTTTTTTTTTTTTTGTATCAGGGAGCAAACTCACAACCTGGCACTTGCTGGGAAGGCACTGTGTCATAGTGCTATATACCTGACTCAGAATATGTTTTGAAAGCTTTTTTATGCTGGTGTTTATGAAGAATAACTGGCTAGGTGGAGCCAACTTTCTAGGCTCAGTGGTAGGCAGAGTAATGGCCTCAAAGATGTGTACAGTTAAATCCTCAGAACCTGTGACTATGCTATCTTCTGTGGATAATGCGGTTGCGCTATCACAGTTCTGCCTAGGATATTGAGGTGGGATGATTTTTCTAGAGTAACCCACTTGGGTGGGCACAGTCTAATCACATAGCTTCCTAGAACTGGAGAACCTCGATGGCTGTGCCCAGAGAGGAAGGGCTATCAACTAGAAAATGTTTGACAGAAACAATGTCACTGCCTTTGATGAGGAAAGAAAAAGTCTACAAGCCTAGAAATGCAGGTGGTTTCTAGAAACTAGAAAAAGCAGGATAATGAATTCTCCCTTAGATCCTACAAAAAGGAACACAAATCTGCCAACACTTTGGTTTGGGCCAAGTGAGACCCATGCTGGATTTCTGACCTACAAAACCAAAAGATAATAAATTTGTGGTGTTTAAGCCACCAAGTTTGTGGTACGTTTTTATGGCAGCAGTAGAAACCTAATACAGACCTCATGAAGTAATGAAGAAGGAACCAGAAAAGAAATCAACAATCCAAGAGTATCCAGGATTAATTCTGCAACAAAGGAACTGACCAATATAGTTATAATGATGGTTATAATGATGATTATGGCTATAATAGAAACACTTGAATAGCACTTAGTATTTAACAAGCCCTCTTCCAAGACATGCCTATATTAATTCATGAAATGTATTATACAGATGGGAACTACTAACTAACTTGTCCAGACACATATGGAAAATCCCCACAGATCCAGGGTCTGAAATCAAGCAAACTGGCTTTAGGTAGATGTTCCTAACCATATCATTCCACAGAGTAGAGACTTCTACCTGGGAGGCCACCTGTCTGCATTAAATATTTACTTGACTTTGAACTAGTGAGTAGTACTCACAAGACTGCTTTGTGGCATAAGTGCCATGGAAGTGTCCTGGGAACTCCTCTGTGCTTGGAAAATGGTGGGGTTTGAGTTAACACTATCTAGACAGCCAGGGAATCCTGGCTGACACAGGTAGACACAGTGGATTTCACTTACCTCTTACCTAATCTACAGGGAACACAAGAGTCATAGACAGTGGAAAGGTGCAAATTTTTAAAGCTTAGTTTATAGGACCAATTTATGGCTTGACTCTCAGGAGATTAGTATTTAGTATATGTTCTTCAAATTCTGAATTATTTTTTCCTTCAACTTTTTTTTGTATGTGTGTCACTGGGGACTGGAACCTAGGGTCTTGTACATACCAAGGAAATCCTTTTCCAATAAGCTATATCCCCAGTTTTTCCTCAACATTTAACTTCATTATTAACTTCTAACTCTGTAGAATCAGGCCCTGGCTTCTGTCTCTGTCCACCTGAACATCTACCACAGGGCCTAACTCAGCACGGGCCTTACTAGAGAAGAATTCAGTAAATGAATGAGCATTTGGGTTATATCATAAATTCCTGATCTTTCATTTAAATTGTTGCCTTGTCTGCTTCCTGAAAAGAATGTAAGTGACTTATGCACAGTGTAGTCAGGGAAATACATACTGCCAAGCCAAACAAAGTCTTTCTAAAAGTTTGGATGCCATATTTGAGTGATTTTTGTGATTTGTGCCCTCGTTGAAGAGTGATGGTGGTAAGAGCTGTGTATTTAGTGGAAGGCCATGGAAACCTCTGAAGAGATGGACTGGGCCAGGTGCCCAGCAGCTGTGTGATCACAGACAGTCCCATGATAGGAATGCTGGATATTGAAGGGGTGGGGGCTAAGAGGTATGACATCATGCAAGACAGCTTGAGCCTAGACCAGATGTACTAGGTGGGTCCCTACATCCAGCAAAACGTTGGTCAAACTCCTGAACTTAACAGAGTGCTGAATGCAATTAGCTTTCTTATGTAAAATGGTGAAGAATGGCATTTTTACAGCAGGGTCTCTGTGAAGATGAAAGGCAGTCTGACACCAGGAAAGAGTGTAAAAGAAAACTCTATGATAAATACCTTGGAGTTTTGATTACCCTGCAGGATAAAAAAAGGTTACTCCTCTATGCCCAGTTGAGAGGGTAAGGGGACAGCCAACATATCTTCATAAAGAAAACTTCCTGTGTCTTGCTTTGGTGACAGTGACCTAGTAGGACCTGTGTGTCATTAAGAGGCAGACTAGAATTCCCTTGCAGAAACTGTAACAATCTGAAAACCTAGCAGGTTCGTTGTGGTGGTGGTGGGTCTCACTTGTGGAGACCATTGCATTGAGGAGCAGCCAAGAGAGGGTTCCAAGACTGTTGTTGCAAGCAGCACTATCCTAGAAAATATTCTGATGGCTAGGTACCATGGCACATGCCTATAGTCCCAGTATTCTGAAGCCTGAAGCAGGAGGATTGCAAATTCAAGGCCAGTCTAGAAAATTGAGCAACTTATTGAGATCCTGTCTCAAAACA